AAAAATATATCAAAAATGTATGTGGGTACTCAAATGAAAGCTCTTGATGAGTGTAACATCGAGATGAGCTTATATCTTTAAAAACATCAATAGTTGAGTGCAATTTAACAAAAGTCATTATTTAATAAAGCAAAATTTAATTTTTTATAGTTCACAAGTCACGGCAGTCACATAGTGACTGCACGGTTGCTAGTATTTATAAAATTAAATATAAAATATCAGACAACAAATCTTGGGAACGTGGACAATAATAATAAGATGTTAAATTTTTTATATATATATATATATATATTAACATCTTATTGTTATTGTCCACGTTCCCAAGATTTGTTATCCAATATTTTGTAAAACATGGATGAGAATCTACAAAGTAATTAAATATAAAATAAAATTGTTATGTAAATTATTAAATTAAATTAAAAAAATTTGTTATTAGACAACATAACATAAATAACTTTATATTAAAGTTAAATTGTTTCTAATTTTTGGTATTCTTATCTTTAAAATTTTGAGTTTTATCACATTTATTTTTTTTTTTAAACACTTAAGGAAAATTCTCAATATGATTTAAATTTTGTAGTAACAAAAAAACAAAATACTTACATCAAGTTTACTCAGTATGTCGTTATTTTGGGACTTGAAACGTACTAGCCATTGAGCTCCAGCGACTGGTAAATCAAACAACCCTTCAACTCGTTGACACGGATTTGACGGTCCTCGTTTTCTAAACCAATCTGGGACTGTTAAATAATAAAATATGTTAACATAATTATTTCTCTATAATTAAGAATTTAAATATTATGTTACCATTTGTAATACTTTTTACAATATTGTTGTATTAGACTGGATAGCCAATAAAATGAAAATTTTCAAAGGAAAATATATATTAAAATTACCATCTGTAATATTATTTTTTAATCTTCATCATTTACTATTTTGATAATTCTCAATAATACTTTTTAAATAAATTCATAAAGTAAATTATGTAAAATATATCAATTGATTATGTTAATTATAACAATTTAAATCTACAATACTCAAGTACTTCTTCATCATCAAGTAAATTAATAAAATTAAAAAAGAATAAAGTAAATTTAAAAAATTTGAAGTGATTTTTACATTTCACTAAAATTGTACTCTTTTTAGATTAATAGTTTAGCCTAAAATCTAATATTTGTCTGTTGCATTTACAAACATTCAGAATATTGATGAATTACCAAATATTAGATGACATTGAAATTAAGAAACATCTGATAACTTTTAGAATTTTTTTAACAAATAAATTACAGCAAGAAAAATTTATTTGAAAAATTCTATCTTTAAAAGCTCTAAAAAATTATAAATACAATTATTTAAAAATAATTTTCTATAGGGTAAATGCACCAGTTGTTGACCGATGAACAAAAAAGTTAATTAATTAATATTTTACAAGGGTTTTTTTTTCTTAAAGTATTAAAATAAAAAAATATGGCATTTAATCATAATAATAAAAAATTACGCAATTAATTGAGCAGTGATTATAGTTTTAAAAAAATATTCTGAGTTTGTTTACAACGCAACCAGCCATAAAGCGGTCAAAAATAACTAACGTACAATTGGAGAGTGAGTGCATTTCATTATTAATTTAGTGATATTTATCGGCATAATATAAAATATTTTAGTTTTATTATGTTAATTAAAGATCAGATTCCAACTTTTTTGAAAAAATAAAGTTAAATTATAAGTTTCAATATTATTTTAAGACCGGTCAACTATTGGATCCGTCAGAAGCCTTTTATCCAGTAAAAAATTCATTCGGTCATTTATTAGACCTTCTGATTTTATCACAATCCAATTAATGACCGTATATTTATAATACTAACTTCTCAACCTTAAAATTAAATTTGTCAAGTGTTTAAAGTACTTTAGTCATTCAATATTTTGTAAATATAAAAATAATCATTATAAAATGTATATTTATAATTAAAATAATACTTAAAATCTTTTTTGATTATTAAATTTTATTTTGTTCTAATTTTTTAGTGAACGGTTATATCAAAGAACGAATTATTAAAAGAAAAATTGCTAAGCAATTAAAAAAAAATAAAAAAGAGTTACAAGCTATTATTTAATGAAGCAAAATTTTATTTATTTATAGTTCACAAGTCACGGCAGTCACATAGTGATTGCAGGATTGCTAGTCATTAATTATAATTAATAATTAATGTAAAATAATTTTTCAGGTCACTCCAGAGCCAAAAGAAAAATCAGCACCGTCAGCTCCTCAAGAGTCTTCACCGTCATCTTCAAAGTCTATTTATCCAGAGCTACCGAAGGCAACCCCTACTCCCGTTTTCTATCACTCTGATCCTAAAATTCAGAAAGCTGTTGAAGCAATGATCCAGATGGGATTTTCAAACGAGAGCGGATGGCTTACTAATCTTTTGGTCACTAAGGAGGGTGACATTGTCCGTGCTCTTGATGCTTTGCAACGCCGCTAATTATGTTGTTTGTATTAGTGCCGCTGGTAAACACTTTATTGCATTCCTCTAATTATTCATTTATTTGTACGTGGTACTGCAATAAAACATGTAGTAAATGAAACAATTTGTAATTATTTCCTTCTAGTTTAAGTATTTTTAACCCAGTTTTTAATTTATATGCATCATTTTTGATTTTATAAAAAAAAAAAAGTTCTTTGTATAATAATTATTTTATTGCTATAAACAAATTTATTTTTCAGCAATTTAGTATTATGTATAATAAATTGATTATAAAACAGTAAGTTTAAAAACTAACTAAAATTAATAATTATAATTTATATAGACGCTGTAAGTCTCATAAGTTTGTAAGGATTTCTGTTGGATAATAGTTCTAATTCACGTTTGCCAGCTTCTGTTAAGTTTCTAATCCACATTCTGTCTTTCAAATACTCGATAGCAGCATCGAACTCGTCTTCTGAGTAATTAGGGACTTCAATTGGTAAGAATGGGTCCAGATGCTCGAAACCTAATTTGCCGAGAAGAAACCGAGGATATGTTGAATCAAACTGATTATCCCTCTAAAATTCGAACAAAATAAAATGATTCATTACGGTAATAAAATAGAATAATTATATTGGCATATTATAATTATAGAAAATTGAAGTACCTTAACTGCTAGTGAATCAACTGTTGCAATAATCGCACCATTGCACCAATCGTATTTTATGAAATCCAAGAATGATTGAGTCAACGATACGCGCTGTGCGTACAGAGGTTTGAAGGTGGAGTCTTTTACGAGAGTGTCTTCACCAAAAAATGCATTGACGCCGTCAAGAAGAACTAAAGTATTGCAATTTCCGGCAGTACTTGCTGCTTTAAGCTCTTGGAGTAGCGCATTGATTACGTCGCAAGTATATTTCCCACGTCCTATTCCAAAATCTATCATCTCTTGCAGTGGCGTTCCTGCTGCATTTTGCTCTCGTGTGTTCCAGACGTAATTTTTTGATAGTCGGATCTGTTTTTAACATTCAATTAATAATGAATATATTGTTACTATTATTATTATTTTTTGTGTTATTATATATGATTCTTTCTAATTCAACAATCATGATAATATTTTAAATAATATATTCAGTACTGAAAATCTATATTATTAAGAGAACAAGAAAAATTTTGTGTCCAGGATAGTCATATGATAAAATCAGTTTTTTTAGTGAAATTTAGTGTCATTGCAAAGGTCTTGACTTGAATTTGTGCCTTTTCAAGGTTTCATATCATTCTCACCGATAGTCAATTTATTATAAGTATTTTAGAGTGCATTCGAAAATGCTCTATCTCTAAATACATAATAAAAAAATGATCTTGTGAATTATTAACATTTTTAAAGATATAAACTCATCCCGAAGTTACGCTCATCAAGACCTTTTAATTGAGTACCCACATCAATTTTTCATATATTTATATATATGTATATATGAAAAATATATCAAAATGCATGTGGGTACTCAAATGAAAGCTCTTGATGAGTGTAACATCGAGATGAGCTTATATCTTTAAAAACATCAATAGTTGAGTGCAATTTAACAAAAGTCATTATTTAATAAAGCAAAATTTAATTTTTTATAGTTCACAAGTCACGGCAGTCACATAGTGACTGCACGGTTGCTAGTATTTATAAAATTAAATATAAAATATCAGACAACAAATCTTGGGAACGTGGACAATAATAATAAGATGTTAAATTTTAAAAATGCATTAATTTAAATTTAACATCTTATTGTTATTGTCCACGTTCGATAACGGTCGGTCATTTATTGGGTTTCTTCGGTCAATAATTGGTGATTTTAGTATTTCAAGATTCAAATAACAAAATTAATATAATTTTGTTAATTTTTATTATAAATAGTTATTAATTATTATTAATTAAGTATTTAACTTTAATAAAATCCATTAGAAATTGTTTTTAGTAGGTTAATAGATTTTTCATAGCTTAGTACAGAAAAAGAAAACCTTAATCGGTCAATAATTGGTGCATTTACCCTATCTAGTTAATTTTACAAGAAAAATAAAAAAACTGTCAAGTGTCTGCTAATTTCAGTATCATAATATTTTTTGAGTTCAGCAATGATATTTTTCAACAAACGATAATAAATAAATATAAATAATTACTCCAGGGTATATGGACCAAAATCTTCTCAGTAACATATCCATAGTGTAATAAATGCATCAACGTCAATGTTTTACCGCTTCCCACCGGTCCGTCTAATTATTACAAATAATGATTGATAAATAAGGAAAAATAATTTCAATTATAAAATAATTTTTATACTCTAAATAAATAAATTAATTAATAAAACTTAAATAAATTATAAATTATTTAAAGGATACACAGGACATATTTGTTTGGAGGCTTGGAGTAATCTGTCTGCTCAAGGTATGAAATCAGCTCAATAGCTGGCTCACGTACCATAATACAAGCCTCCCTAAATGTTTTTATTTGAATATGCAGACGTCTTGGCATTGATGTCCGAGGCATTACTTGGCTCACAGCATTTTGGGGTATCGTGTAAAAGCGATTTAAATGGTCGCGATTATGTTTTTGGGGATTATCTTCAGTGGTGCGAATTATTCGGATCGGCTCTTCTTGTTGTACTTCGGCTCTCTGAGATAATATTGATTGGTGTCGCACATTATTCGACATACGTCTCAGTAACATTCCTAAAAATAATAATTCATCAGATTGATTAATAACTATGATTACTGATTAGTTATCAAGCAATATCTTTTTTTTTTTTTTTTTCAATTACACCAATTAATTATTTCAAAATTTAAACTATTAAACAAAATTGTAATTTATTATTAATAAAATATTATTTAGTTGACTTACTTGTAGGAATCATTGTTGATATATTTATTTGTTTCTTGTTTATTTGAAATATAGTGTAAATTTTAATTTATAGACAACAAATAGGTTATACTTCAATACATTACTCCTGCTCACTGTTTTGATCACATGTGTAGAGGGATTCAATAATTAAATGACGTCATCGGTCTTATTTACCCGCGAAATATGAATTTTATTTTCTAGTATATTTTTTTTATAGAAAAAATAAAAATAATATTTTTAATTAATTAATTTATTTATTTTTATACATAATATATAATGTAAATATTTTAATAAATAATTTTATTTAATTTAAAAATAAAATTTAAAAAAATTTCTTCTTGTGTGCTATTTAAAATACGCTTCAAAATTTTTTATTTTTTTTTTTTCATTCAAAATTATTATTTATTGATTTAATACTTCTTGATTTAGTACTTTCATGCCTATTCTTCTTATTTACATTTGATTTAGTTTTATTATTTGGTAATGAAATATTTTACATAATTTTGATGATAATATATTTTTATAGTTTGTAGGAAAATTTCACAAAAAACTTACTCATAATTTTTTACTTCAATATTAGCGCTAGTGAAAATGTAGAAGAAAATATGGTAATTATTGTGAAAATGTAGTTAGTCGACATTTCAAAATTTTTAGAAATTTTTTATTGAAAAAATTTCAATTAAAAAATTAAAAAAAAAAAAATTTAACATGTAAAAAACTTGAAAAACTACAAGTGCAATTTTTTAGATATATATTTTTAATTGTAATTTAATTAATAAAAAAAATCTAAAATTTTTAAACTTCTGCTAACTTCAGGGTCATTAATTATTTACAAGTGGGGTCAATCCCATTTTGGGCCATAACTAGGTGAAAAAATAACATTTTTTTTTATTCTGTTTGTTTTTACGGCGCATTCTTAATAAGAAATGTCGTGAAAGAGAATATTAAAGATTTCGATAGCTTTTTTGCCTTCAAAAGTTGGAAAAAATTTTGGTTTTCATATTTTTGGATAAAATTTATATTTTATCTTTTTTTGATGTTTTTTACATATTTTTTTTTTTTGAAAAGTACATAAAAAAACAAACAATTTGAAAGAAAAAAAAAATTGATCAATTTGAAAAAAAAAAAAAATTTAATATGGCCCAATATGGGTTGACTCCACTTGTAAATAATTACTAAAAATATATTTATCAAATTATACTTAAATGAAGTAATGTAATGTTAATAGATTGCCAGTATCTTTTTTGATTAAATATAACTTAATAAAATAATTTAGTGATAAAAGATAATCCAACAATGTTGCAAAGTACATTATGACCGGGAAAAGTTTAAAAAACACATAAATTGTTTTTATCTGATAATTAAAATATTTGCAATAAAATTATTTAATTTAAATCAATAATGCAGATCCTTAATGTACAGTAATTTGTTAACATAATTATAATAATTACTAAAAAATCAATGACACGCTTTCGTAACTAAATTAGAAAATTTTTACAAACGTAATTAAGAGTTTAAAATTATCTTTGCTATAAAGTTTATAAAATTTATAAGCTAAACAATGAGAAGAAATATTAGTTTGCATAATTAATAAAAAAAACTCAAGTGTATTTCTTCACTCCGCAAAAGAAAAATACTTTTACAAAATAATTTAAATAATAATTTGAATAATAAAAAAAGCAGCATGGGCGTTTACGTGGGTGTATGTTTGCGCACTCTCATAGCTCAGTCAGAATTTGCTCGAGGTTAAGGGTTGTTTTTCTTCGTTTCTTAATACCATTATCATTATAAATAAATAAAAAGAAAGTGTCAATAAAAATTGACCGTACAAAAGTTCACCACCAAATAATTATACATCGTTACTTATAACGTAATTGTATTATATTATTTAACTAAAGGTTTTAAATAAATGGATTACGCTTATACTAGTTGCGGAAAAGATTTGCGATAAGATAAATTGAGGTCAGACAACACATTACAGGTACATAATTTTTTTATTTATAATAATAATAATAACTAGAAGCTTATTTATCTAATCTTTTAGTGACTAATAATGAACGTGACATGAAGCAATTTTAAAATAGTCAAATTTTTTAATTTTAGCAAATACTTTTTTTTATTTTTTTAAAATAAAGCCTTAAAAATTAACTTAAATCAAGAAAAAAATTCTTGAAGCAAGAAAATAATATTAAAGAATTTTATTATCTTTAAAAATTTTTTAAATTTTATCATTAATTAAATTATAACTAAAAAAATTACACTTTTAATTTATGAATATTAATTTAGGAGATATTTTATAATTTTAAGAATTTTTTTAACAAATAATTTAAGTCAAAGAAAATGAGAAAAAAAATTGACATTTAGAAAATTAAAAAAATAAAAAATCAAATTTTTTTTAAATAATTTTTTGGAGCAAATTTATTTATTAAAAAAAAATTAAAAAATGGTCAAGTGACTGCTAACTTTAATGTCATTTTTAATTTTTCAAATTTTCTGCATCTGAAATTTTTATTTTTTTATAATAATTATTTTAATAAGAAAAATCCTAAAAATTGTCAGATGTCTGCTAATTTCATTTTCTTTAAAATTTATTTAAACCAAGAAAAATTTATCAGTCTAAGAATTTTTCTGCTCCAATAATCAAGAAGCTGAAATTCTTCAAAATTATTTACTCGATTTAAGTTAATTTTTTTTTCTGTGTATTATTAAATTGTCAAGTCACGTTCGTAGATAACAATTATTATTAAGTGTTATCGGTTACTATTTTTATAAACAACTATACGTATAGAGAACATGACAAATATGTAATAAAAGAATCTAATCTATTAAGTTGCAGGATATCGTCGCGACGAATGAATGAGAAGATTAATAATAATAATAAGACATAGAGAGAATAACAAATGATAAATTAATGAATATTTATAATTAAAAATCAATGGCCAGTCGGAATAATTATTTTGGATCGTATTATTGTTATTTTTATTGTAAATGGAAGACATCGCAGCAATACAACAATCAGAGACATGACATTTTGAAGCTAACGAGAACCGAGAGCAAATGATTATTATTTAATATTGACTAGGCATTGTCCTCGGCACGTCGTATGGTATCTTACAACCAAACGCAGTACTTGACTCAGTCTGATGCAGACTGAGTAGAGTCGAGAACCGACGGGCTTTAATTAATCAGACTCAGTACTGATCCGAGTGTAAGTGGTTAGAAGTACAATCGGTTTTCCGTAGAGACCGATACCCCTGGCACATTCTTCGAGGACAAACATCGGTTTGTTGTTTGTTGGTACTTAGTTGTCTTCTTGCAGCCAATCTGCACTCTTCTTATCATTATAATATTGTTCTTTCTACATTGTACTTTCTTAAGTCATTATTTTGTTGTTGTCATGGAGAAGCAAGAAATATTTACCAACTTACACTACTTGCCGATTTTTATATTTGTTTCGGTACCTGCGAGTTTTATTATCACGTAAGTACTATGCAGATTTTTTGTTTTATTATTTATACTTGCAATGAGATTAATTTTATAAAGTTTAGTTTTTTTTTTTATTTAATTTGATTTTTATTTGTATTTAAAATAGAAAACTCTGACAAATTTTTTTGATGAATAGTGTTAAAAAAAAATTATGAAAAATATTTTTGCTTGAAAAACCATCTTTAAACTGATAAAAAAATTATTTTGAAGAAATTGATGATGTTGAGTGAAAAAATTTTTGAGCGAAGAAATTTTTTTTTTATTTAGATTAGATTTAGATTATTTATTTATTTATGCCAAAACTTGCTGGCCAAATGGCAAGTAAAAATAAGAAATACAATTCATAACAAATTTAAAAATATTAATAATAATAATAATAATAATAATAATAATAATAATAATAATAATAATAATAATTTACAGATATTATAAGTACTCTGATTACGATTTTATAAAATAATTATGATTTCGATTTAAGTAAATTTTACTTGGCTCAAAAATTTTAATTCAAAGTTTTTCTTTTGAAATAATTTTTATATCAGTAAAGGAAGAAATTTTTTTTATTTACTCAAATAAGATGTTAACTCATAATTTTTTGAGACATGTATAACGATAAAGGAAAATTTAATATTTGTCTATCTGGACATTTTAAAATCATACTGTGCATATTTTTAAAATTAATCATTTTTCTCTAACAATAAGTAATGTGTCTTATAAAAGTCAAAAGATTGACGGATGTAATTCTATTTTCAGTGAATTAAATTAAACATGATACAGGAAGTAGTGAATAAAATTTTCCGTACATTGTTTCATATAATCTTCATTTTAAGAACTTTATATTACTAAAATCTTCTTCAATAAATAATTAATTTGATTTTTTTTAAATTAATTTTAGTGTATTTTATAAATATTTTTTGTTCTTATTTTTATAAAATTGATCATAATTTTTTAAACTATTTATAGATATACTATTGCGGTTGTAAAAGGCCATGTTGTCCCAGGATTTCCTTACATTTCGGATACGGGCACTTATCCACCAGAAAGTTGTTTATTTGCACAATTTTTAAATATTATTGCTGTTATAAGTGAGTATATCATATTTCTTCACCAAAATTAGCTGAAGTTAAATATTTCTTTATATTAACTCATTTTTAAAGTTATTAATTGCTTTAATATTTGAATATTAAATGTAAAATTTAAAATTAAGTACGATTTTTTTATCGATAATGAAGTAATACTGAATTATTAACTTTACTGAATAAATATTTATTCAACTCGCGAAAGTAAAAATTTTATTGTTTAAATTGAACGCCTGTTTAAAAAAAATTCGATTAATTTATTATTTACTTTTTGCTCGAAATAATAATAAAAACTTTTTTATTTTCAGTGGCTATTTCTGTCTATGTTAGATACGGTCAATTGAAAGAAATTTCTTCAACCTATCAATTGTCAGCGTACTGGCAAAAAATAAATAAAATTACATTGATCCTTGGCATGATTACATCAATTGGAATGTCTATAGCTGGAAATTTTCAAGAAACTTCCAATTTAATTATACATTTATGTGGTGCTTTTACATGTTTTGGCTGTGGGACTGCTTACATTTCGTTACAAGTAAATATTTTTATTAAAATTATCATTATTTTATCAGATTTGATTTTAAAAAATTAAGATAACACTGTTTGATTTAACAAAAATTAATCAATCTTTTTAAAATTAAAATAATGATGAAATCAATTTGCTGAAATTTAATATTAAACTTTATTATCTATACTATAAAAAATATTCAAAAACAAATTTATAATTTAAAAAAAAAAATTTACAATTATCAAACGTGCATCAAAATTAATTTTTTTTTTTGTGATTAATTTGAATTATTAATAGTAATTGCTTGATAATTACGAGTTTTTCACAAGCAAATAGCTTATTTTAATTCAATATGCAAATAATGTTTAAATACAATAATATATTCTCATTAGTCAATTATAAAATATACTCAAGATAATTAAGAAACTTTTAAATGAAAATTATTATTGAGTTTCATAAGTGAATAATAATGAAAACAAACAAAATTGAAGTTAAGATGTCCCACCAAGAATATTTAAAAATTTTTTTTTCTTAGAGTTGATGATAATTTAACTTGATAATTAACTTCCATTTGAATAATTTTAATAATAATATTTTATTTGTAGGCAGTCTATTCATATCGACTTCAACCTTTAGGCTGCTCACCGAAAATAACAATTTTAAGACTGGGATTATCGATTTTTTGTACTATTAGTTTCTTCGTCGTTATTATTGGAGCTGGGCTTGCATTAAAAGATTACAAAGGTGAATTTCAAGTAATTGTTGAAAAAATATCATATACTAACTCAAGGTCTACTTAATATTTTATTACACTTTCTATAAAAACTCCAGATTAAATTGTTAACGAAAAATAATAAATTATAATGGGTGTAATTTAAATATTTTTTGATATGTTAATAAAGAAATATAATACCTTTTTATATATTCAAACAGGAAACAATCCGAGGACATGGTCTCCGGAGGACGGTGGTTGGGAAATGCATCTTCTCAGTACAATCTCCGAGTGGCTTCTCGCTATTGCGATTTGTATATTTCTTCTAAGTTTCACCCACGAATTTCGCGAAATAGAAATGACTTATCCTAAGGTAATTAAACTTTTTTTCATTTAATAACTCAATTTCGATAAGCCATTAAAATTTAACTAGCAAGACTTTGATTTTAATTGACATTTTAATTTTCCACTCAAGCCATCAGTTACTTGAATAAATAAAAGTGATCCAGCTCCGGTCGTTGAAATATTTAATAAATTCACCTTTATTTTCCCTTTTTTTAAATTTAAAGGTCGAATTTAATAATAATTATTATTTTTTTAAACTTGATAGAAATTTATATGAAAGGAATTCATGTATCATTGTTTAATAGAATGTAAACGTTTTAATCATGACCATGTCCTACTTAACTTTTCTTTCATACATCTCTTTTTTCAATTTATTATTATTGTCAACGATGGTTATTATTTTTTTAATTGCAGATTTAGATTTAAACAACAAAATACGACCTATCAATTATTTTGCATGCAAAATTAGTTATTAACAAAAAACATTCATACTTTTTTAATTAAAATTGATTTTTTTGTTTTTCAAGTAAAAAAAAAAAAAAGAATTATTCAGAGTTAGAAACGAAAAATAGTTTATAATTACCTAGCATATAATTATTTAATAATTTGACGGTCAACTTTAAATTCATCTTTCGAAATAGTTTTTTTCCTTCATATTATGACCGTGAAATAAAGTATAAGTTATTGTTTACGAAATTTTAATTCATAAATGATAATTCATGACGTACATTCAAATTTTATTTCTAGGTGAAGATGTTACATAAATTTATCACCTAATAATTGTTAATGATAAATAGAAATTTAAAAGATTTCAATTCAATTTTTTTTCTTCTTTTGTTAAGTAACAAGTAAATAAGATTAATTTTTTAATTTCAATGTGATTACTTCACAGTTTTATTTGCCAATGAATATAATTACAATGAATCGGCTTTATTGTCATTTTTTTAATGTCTAAAGCGAAGAAATTTTTTTTTAATACAAAAATTTAAAATCATTCTTTTCAATCAAATTTTTTTGTTGGTGACAATGACTAATGACCTTTTAAATCAAAATCCTTATAAGTAACTCATTAAAATATAATTCGCCTATTGAATTAAGTGTGGGTTAGCCAGTTTTAAATCATTATCTAAAAACTAATGGATACATATTGCATAAAATGAATAAGTGTATCTAAATATAGAAAAAATTTTCAGATAACTTACAAAGAAGACTACGCTAAAAAAATGTACGGCCTATTCAATGCATCACCAGAGTCAATCAGTCCAACAACAAGTATTTGATCTCTCATTCAAAGTTCCCGTGGTTACGTGAATCTCCTGTCTGATTCCCCGATAAATACTCCGTACGTCGAAATTCACAGCCAGGATACTCCACTACGGGATTCGGAATCTTCGCGGCTGCTCAACGTCCAAATGACTTACGGCTTCCAAACGGAGGCCGATTATCGTCCGCAAGCTTACAAAACATTCGATTCCGGGAATTCGCAAATTAATCCAGCGGTCAGCAGATTAAGAACGGAAAGCCGACATTACAATTGCAATGATAGCCATAATCACAATTATTCATCGTCATCAATAACAACAGAATCACATCAAACATCTTCGACTTCAGCAGGTTGCCAGACAATTTACGGGACTTTGACTCCGGAAAAAAGTGATAAATTAAATTTTAATAACGGTGCGACTGATAAATTTGAAAAATCTTCCATAAATTATGAATTTGAGTTACCCCGTAGCGATAGTTGTAGTAAAATAATAAATTGTTTAACCGAGTCAGATAATCAAGATTATAATCAAATTTTCTTATCGGACCTGGATGAGGATAAAATGCTATTAAGCCACAATAATATTGAAATTAGAAGCACAAGTAACAGCAGTAGCACCGATAATTCAATAGCGGCTTCCATAAAAAGCGACGAGGACATCGATACCGAATTGAGTTGCTGTGATATAGAGCAGTGTTTAATTCAGATTGAAGAAAGCCTATTGAATATCGAACAAAATTTACTTCACGTTCAAAATCTTGAGATACCACAGCTCAATAATTTACTGAACAACCGATTTATTATCAACAATTACAATCGTAATAATGATTACGTAAATAAATACCAGATAAATCCTCTGAGTACTTACAAACGGCCTTCTAGTGAAAACTCAAAATATAATTACAGCAATTATTTTGATAATAATAGTACCAGCTCGTTGGTTAGAAGCTGCTTGAGGCTTTCACACTCGGACAGTGATATCGACATTGAGAAGAATATTTATTTAAATTCACCTCGGCACGATTGTCGTCTGGATAACGATGATTTTAGCTACAATAAATATTCCTCTTTGTTGAAGAAATCTCAGACTTTGATTGAGGATAATTTTAAAAAAATTCAACTGCTCAGTGAAATAAAAAGTGACTTTATTAATTTGAATTGTAGTGATAGTTTAGGTAGATCTGTTAAGTTGATAAATAGTAAAAATTTGTGCAATTCATTTGATAATAATGGTTGTAATAGTTTTAAGGATAATGATAATGACTATGATAATGAAGACTATGATATTACGAGGGTTAAAGAAATTTTGGGTAAGAAGAAACGTATTAATTCGTTAAGTAATTATTTTTGTAAGAGTAATAGTATTTCTTCTTCTTCGTTGATAAATAGTAGAAAAACTTCATCGCAGGGTGCTATTGAAAAATATACGCGTGATAATGGATTCAAAGTCAGGAAGAAGAGACGCGATATTTGCAGGAGAAGTATTAATAATACTTCCAGTGATGGGTTGTTGAATCAAATAAATGGTAAAAGTGACTTACTGAGGAAGAAATTTAAAACTGTCGCGACGACAAAGGATATTGTTATGTCCTTCAAAAAATTGCAAGCCTGTAATAGCAAGGGAAGAAATTTAATGATCCAGGATTTTGATTGCGAGACCAAGAATGAAGATGATAAAAAGAAGGTGATTGACAAACCATTGAAGAATTCCACAAAAAATCAATTGCAAGCGAATGATAATAATGCTCTGGTGCCGAGTAAATTGTTGTCATTGTCTTTTTCACTGTTGTTAGCGGCTTTACTTCAAGCGGTGCGTTGTCTTGCTGATATCGTTGAAGACACATTTCGCTCGGTTACTTTTGATAAGTATGTTTTACGCGAATAATTTTAATGTGATTCTGGTTTTGAGCGATTGACTGTGGAGCTTTAACTAATTTGTTAATTAATTTTAAGGTTGAGTTTTTATGATAAATTTTAGTTTGAAGAAACTGTGATTTTGTGGGAATTTTTGATACTGCGAATGGAAGATAACTTTGAAATTTTAAAACTTTATTTTGTAAATTATAAATATTTTATTTTATTCTTTCTTATATTTTATGAGTAAAAATGGCGATAGTTTAAACTATTTAAATAAATTAAATATTAAAACAATATCCGAAATTTTTTAAAACATGGTTACTTTTTTTTTTACTTAAACTCACTAATTAAAGTTAGTTACCTACCTATTTCCATTAAATTTTTTAAAACTTGAATATAAAAATGTAGAACTATTTCAGTACTTTTTAAGATTAATTAATAAAAATTGTTTATATTTTAATATTTACCAAAATTTGCAGATAAAAATGATATTTTTCACTAAAAACATTTACATATTGTATTAATAGATTCAATGGCTGTAGAAAAATCTTTATTCAGTTTTATAATGAAATAAAGATTTATGTAGACATCAATAACTTTGAAAATAAGTCTGCAAGTGTGGATAGAATGAGAAAAAAAAAAAAAACACACATTTTTTGTTTTTAAAATTTCATAGAGCCTACACAATTGTAAAAACAAAAAATTGAATAAGTGCCGTGAATTATTCCAAAGGCCTGATTGCAAATAAATTATATTTTACAATCACTCTATTTATCTATCAACCTAGTCTAATAGTAAATAATTAAAAAAAAATAATAACTGATATATTTTAAATTTATAAAATAGGTGCTAAAATTTTTCTATAAACGCTTATGTAATTAGAACTATTTTATATAAAAAAAAAAAAAAAAAAAAAAACTCAAATCTATGTCATAATCAATGTATTCTTTTAATTATTTCTTATTAATAAATATTTAAAAAAATGAGAAACAATTATTTTTTATATTTATAACTAATTTATTTATAAAAAAGAATTTTTAGAATTAAATTAATATCTTTTAGTTATTAAATTAAGTTAATATTTTTTTATATTCTTTCTGATCAAAGCTAAGCGTTGCTTATGAGCTTCCGTGACCGTCGCACGTTTGAACGGCCGCACCTCATCAGTTCCGAAGCCGGGTATCCACATGTTCCAACTTCGTTCTGAAATTCAATAATAAATTATTTTTTTTTTTTTTCAACGGTTGATTAATATACATGCAGAAGTATATATATCTTGTGATGAAGATGAAAATAGTTGCAATGGTTAAATGAAAAATAAATTATATTAGTTGATTTTTTGTAATGTCATTATTTTTAGTAAAATAATCTATCACCATGTAGTGATTTATCACGACTTTAAAGTAATTAGAAAAAAAAATTATTGCATAGGTATGACTGGTGCAAAAAAAATAATTGCATTTTTTGATAGTTTATAGAGAAACAAATCACAAGCAACTCAAATTACCAAAAAAATGACATTTTATATGAATATTTGACATAAATAAAAACACAAAACATAAAAACATCCAAAGAGAATTTTAGTAAATTCTCTTCAGGGTGAAATTGAGTTCTACGGAGGTTCATACGGCGCTTTCATCAACAACATTAGTAGACATCTACTGATCATACCAGAACACTAATAAATACAATCAATCCTTTTTTAATTTCTGCTTTCTCCCCATCTAGTACTTGCAAGTTTACTTTTGATTTTCAAAATTGTTATTTTATCTGTCTCCCTCACCATCATGTAACAAAATATTATTTGATTCAATTTATTTAATAAATTTAATATATATCTTTTATATCTTTAATGTATATTGCCGCTTGGCGTAAAATGAATAAATAAATAAATAAATAAATAAATGACCCAAAAGTGAGAAGCTGGTATTGATAAGTTGATGTAACTATTATAAAATAAAATTTTAAATAAAATAAATAATTTACCCAGGTGGAGTTGGACATCTTTGACCTCTACGGTGTTGGCATGCCTATGCTTTGCTAAAAGACAAGCCGCGTTGACTGTAGTTTCCACAAAGTCATCGGCTAATTGGAGCAGCATTTCCTCCACTTCTTCTTCTAATTGCTCCGTAGGGTCAACTTCCCTCACCAGATCTTGTAATTTTGATTTGCTTAAAAACTGAAAACAATCATATTAATAACAAATTTATTCACTAACTTAGTATATAGTAATATTAAGTACTTGAATACTCCGGAGATATTCCAAGTACTGCTGTCATAAACTTACTTGAGGAAGTTCAGCTGATGAACTTAACTTTGTCCCTTGTTCTTGATTTTGAGTTTGAGCATGATCGAAACTATTGTCAGCCATTGTAATTGATAAAATTTAAAAGTAACCTGTAATTATTAGAAAACATTAATTATTTCAGAAATCAACAATTGAACTCATATATATGACGTAAAAATTAATTATAAATCTTACCTTGTATAAATACTTAATATTAACACAGCTAAAAATTTTTATAACTTTTTCTGTTAATAATTGTATTAAATAATAAATATTTATTATTAAATATGCTCAATGTGTACTGTGTACTTTTATACATATAAATATTTTAGTTTTAGGTTAGAAATTTAGAAATCAAGCATAACATGTTCAAACAAAACTGCGCATGCGCGCGATATTTAGTTTTGAAATTTCTCACGAGAGCGCTTGTGTCAAGCGCGCGCAGCTTTTCAGTTTCAAAAACAAAATTTTTCGTAATTACATTTTACGAAAATATCAAAAGTTTAACCCATTTATATGTTTACTATATATTTTTGAAATAACACTTTTTAATCGTGAAAAATAATCATTTTAAAATTAGCATACATTTGATGCATTTAAAAAATTTTTTTAATTTTATCAGAATAATAATTATAAAAATAATGAATAAATAATTAATTAAAAAATAATGAATAAATAAATAAATTTTGTTAAAGAATAATTTTCATAACCTAAAAATAAATTAACATGAATGAATTCACGGTCATTAGGTTCATTCATAAAATCCGAAGTTTTTTTTATCATCATTATTATCATTATTAACCAGTCATGTAAATAAAATGATTTACATACATTTGATTATTAAAAAAGCAAATAATAAGCGCATGAATAATAAAATAGACGAAATTTAAATTGAATAATAAAATGTTCGGAGCGTTGATAAGTATGAGCGAGAAGCGAGAAGAGCAGAGTGAGATAATTATTTTTAATAATATTCTGTTTCAGTTTTTTGAATAAATCTGTCCCACTTCCACTGGAGGCATTAATGGAGTAAATGCTGGAAGTATTATACTAACCGAGAGGAAAACATAAATCCCAGTTCACAGTGTGGTGTGCTCTGATGGTGAGAGCCCACCCAGCAGAGCAAGATGGCTCCGCTCAGTACCACTAATAATCTACACATTTGACGTGATATTATTTACAATAAATCCAACTATTAATTACTTAAACAGTAACACATTATCATCAGTAGAAGTTGTGTTGTTTTATAGACATTAAACAAATATTATTTTTTGGTAAATAAGTGTAATAATAAGGTAATTGTGGATTTAAAATAAAAATTAACAAGGAAACGGCCGGTTGGCGTGCCAGACAGGTCAGTGTATTGCAATATCGAACTTTTCTCTTAGAACTTTATTATTTTATTTTCAGCTTTTACTCAATTGTTTATTAACAATAACCACCCGTGAAAAATCCTCGATTCTTCGAATCACTCAGTTGAAATTTAGAATTATTTTTTTTTATCAAAAAAATAATAATATTAATTAATATATTGAAACATTTCACGGTTGTGTACAAAAGCATATTGATCTATCCATGCCTGTCATTTTAATAGTTTTTTTTTTTTTTTTTTTTTTTTTCAGGATATTGTTTTAGAGCCACATTTGAGTATGCAAACGCTATCAATAAATTGTAAATTATAATTACGCTTCCTTTTATTCGGCTTAAATAATTGAATATGTAAAGAGCAGTTTTCTTGATTAACTTTTTTATTGTTTTTATTTTTATTAACAAGAATTATTTTTGAGTTTGTGTTTTTCAAATTGGGTGTACCGAGTAATCGATAGATTTTTAATACATGCGATATTTAAATTTTTTAATAAAAAAAAATGTCATTGTGATCATGATCAGTAATTATAGCTTGACAAGGCGCTTTATTTTTAGTTATTTTCATTTTATTTGCCATTGAATATCGATGGTATTTCATTGTGACCGTGAAATTTTTATTGAAATATTGGTTTTTAAATGTCAAATACTGTTTTATTACACTTTTACACTCTATTGTTATTAATTTACGTTTCAATGAATTTTATTGTTTGAGTTTTAATTATAAAATTTTACTCATTTCTTCTTTTTTTTTATTATTGTAGACGTTCAATTTTTTTTAAATCAATTATTTCCAATCCATCAGTTACTTTCATTTATTACATAAAGCGACTAATTCAGTCGTGTTATTTTAAAAATAGAGTTTTATTTGGATTAAAAATGTTTATTGCGTTTCATTTTATTCAAATTTCTATGAATCACGCAAACAACTAATTTGTTTATTTTTCTTTCATCAAAACCTACGCTTTTAATTTAATAATTAAAAATAACAATTGGTTAAATTTTTGATAAATTAAATTATTTATTCCTCAGTTTAAATTTAATAAAAAAATTAACTATCGCTCCATTATATTTATACATTGGATCAACATTATTTAAATTTACACTTGAAACTCTTTCATTAATTAACCATTGTTAATAAAAATATTTTTAATTAATAATAAAAACCAATATTTTAATTTTAATATTTATTTTTCATCTATTACTATAGTGTAATTACTAATTATAATACAAAAACATTAAACTAATTGAATAAATTATTTACCTCTCCAGTTTAAATTATCTTAATTAATTACATTATTATTATTATTAAAATAACGCATGTATTAAATTAATTATACACTATAACTTTCTTAGTCTGGAAAAAATAAATTAGATTTGATGAAATTAGAGAGAAAATTTCAGTATGTTCATGCATGAAGTTTATGGTTGAATAAAAAATAAAATTAATATTTTAAATAAGTTAAAAAATTAATGTATTTTTTAAATTTAAACTTCAAATGAAGTATGTACACAGTTTTTTTTATTTATTCAATTCACAAGTACTGCATAAACATTTAAAAAATTATTGATCCATATAAATTCAAACTATAAGTTTTGGAGCGCGATTGTTAGTCATCTGATCTAATTTAAAAGCATTAAATTCTCTATAAAAGTCTAAGTAGAACATGTAATTCATTTCTTTAGATCTAAACTATTTTTCCTCGACAATAAAAGAATAAAAAGGTGCTATAACGACCACAAAATCAACATTAACATAATTTAATATTAAAGTATAATGATAATAGCTGTAGAATATAAATGCATGGAATGTTTTAATTAAAATTTTCCATTAAACATATGTTGTGTACATATGAACATACATGAGAATTTTTTTACTACAATATTTAATTATTTTATTTCAGGTAAATTAACACAGTGCCATTCTCAAAATCACATTGCTCATTATTTGAAATTAGATAATTATTAAGCGTGTAACCGTGCTTTTTAATAGTGATTAATTAATTATTTAACTAAATAATTGAAATAATATAATAAAAAATTGATAATAATAACAAATGCAACGAATTTTTTTAAAATATATCAACGTGATGTTACGAACAAGAATTAATGAGTGGATTAAGTGATGACATCTAATTAAAATGAGGTACAATAATAATATTAATCATAAAATTAATAACTACCATAATAATATTAAATAATAAAATTAATAATAGTAATATTACTATTAGAGTAGTGATTTTAGAAACATAAAATGGCAAAAATGTTGCCAAAAGGGACTTTTTTAAATTTTACATAAAGATTGTAATACAACGACCAAAGATAGTTAAAGCTGCAGAGACTTGAGAGTTAACAATAATTGTTGGGATGTGCAGGCCATATTGTGTCTAAGAGAGTTAACATTGAAATCCAGTGGCGAGTGATAATAATTTTGCTAATTATAAACAGCTAGCTAATTAAATTAAGCTGAAAAAAAATTATTATAACAATTATTATAGTTATAACAACAAATGAGTTTTAACATGGCACGTAAAAGTGATAATGTTAAGTGTATTAACATTGCGGTCGTTGGTTTGTCTGGTACTGAAAAAGACAAAGGACAAGTTGGAGTTGGGAAGTCATGTCTTTGCAATCGATTTATGAGATCACTTAGCGATGACTATAGTGTTGATCATATTTCTGTTTTATCACAGGTAATTAATACTCACATTAATTTATTAATTTTTTTTTAGCATAATTTTTGGAGTAGAATTATTTATTTTTCATTTTGTAAGTTGGTAAAATATTGACTGAATTTTTTTTTAATTATGACGATGAATTCAATGTCTATCATGTAAATTTCTTGACTAATTGAAATAAAAAATAAAGAAATGTTTAGTCAAAATAAATTTTAGTTTAAAATTGATTATAACGTTTTCCGATGAATTACTTGATTAATCGTGTGATATAGCATGGCTCATGTATTGTATTATCAAACAATGTAATGTACTTGGTTGTACTCAATAGTATAGTAATAACTTATTGAAATAATTCATTACTCCTTTGTCAATTTCACGATTCATTCAATATCACCAAATTGTAATTAGCTACATCGATATTTTGTAGAAAAAGGTATTTCAACAAAAGGTAATTAATTAAAGTGTCCAGTCATTATTGTTTTATTGACGTTTTAATTTATGTTTAAACTCTTTTTCATTTATTTTCAACGTTAATATTTTCATGTTATATTATATTTGATTGTTAATTACGATAAAGTATACTAGAGTACTATACACTTGTGTCAATATTTTATCATGACTTAAAAATTAATTAAAATAAATGTTTAATTATACGTTTTTACGTATTTCGGAATTAGTTTTTAAATCACTTAAAATAATTTCTAAGTTTCTTAGATTTTTTCGTAATTTTAAAAGAACCTCTGCACGTTTTTCAAAATAAAAAAAAAGTTAATTTATGGCTGCAATCATACGCAGCATTGACTTTGAATTCTCTCTAAATGTTATTTTTTAATCTTTATTATTTTTTTTCTACGACTAGTGCAGATGACTTTATTTTCTTTCTAAATAAAGAAAACAATCTAAAAATACCTTACAATCATTAATTTTAAAATATTTTTACTGGAAATAAAAACAAAATAATTTTCTTATATTCTATAGTTATTTTTAAAGTTTGTTCAGAAAGTATTTAAAAATTAAAATTCAATATTGTTGATTTCATTTCAACCTTTGCAAATTGAATTTTCCGTTATATCGGGATTTTGAGCTCCTCAGAAGCTATTTCGATTATTTTTAATGTGCTTTAGTGTTTATGGTTGATACTAACGATGAAAAATGAAACAAAAACTATATCCCTCGATTTTTTCACCACTATTATATTTAACTTTCTGAATCCACCTATAAAAAGGCTCTGCGTAAAGTGCTATAAATCGGAATTGCCCATCAAAAACAGACTATAGCACTAAAAAAAATCGATTAATTTTTTTAACCGGAATTATATTTCTTGTATAGTTTTTATAGTTATATTAATGGTATCTTAAGGGTTTGAATAATGTATATATTTATTAAATAAATGATTATTTTTTTTTTTTTCAGTCGGATTTCAGTGGTCGTGTTGTAAATAATGATCACTTTTTATACTGGGGAGAAGTGACAAAAGTTGCTGAAGATGGAACAGAGTATCAATTTCAAGTAATAGAACAATCAGAATTCATCGACGATGCATCATTTCAACCATTCAAAGGCGGGAAAATGGAGCCGTATGCCAAGCGATGCACTGCTACTAAAATAACCAGCGCTGAAAAATTAATGTACATTTGTAAGAATCAATTAGGAATAGAGAAAGAGTACGAACAAAAAGTATTGCCTGATGGTAAATTAAATATCGATGGTTTTTTATGTGTATTTGACGTTAGCGTGGTACCGAATCGTTCAATAGAGAAACAAATAGAAATAGTATCAAACATTCTGAATAATTTGATAAAAACTAAAAAACCAATTTTATTAGTGACTACCAAAAACGACGACGCTAATGAGCAGTACGTAAAGGAGGCTGAAAAATTAATATCACGCAAAGAGTACAAGAGTTCTATTTCTGTTGTCGAAACATCATCTCACGAGAACATAAATATTGATGCTGCATTTCTAGTCCTGGCACAAATTATTGATAAAACTAAAGTTAGGAGTAAGATAATACCTTTTAGTGAAGCCGCTAGATTAAGAAAAGAGCTGTTAGATGCTTCGACAGAATCCTTGCAAAGATTAATTCGTATACATGTTACGGATTACCGCGCGTTATGGTCACAAGCTTCGAAAAAACTTGCTCAGCACAAAGAGTTTAATAACTTTGTTGAATTGTTTGGTATCGACGCTACGCAGAGGCTATTCAGGCGACATATTAAAAAGTTGAAGGATGAACAAATAGCCAAAAAAATACAAGGGTATTTAGATATGTTGCCAGATATTCTTCATGAAATTTGTCCTGACATTTCCAGTCTTATTAATGAGTAAGTTTTATTACTATCTATTTTTGCGATTATTTTACTCGAAAAATCTATAAATATTTAAAATAAATTAAAAATGTCACGTCATTGCTTACAATAAATTTTATCGGAAAACTGGAGTGGTTAGCAGAGTCTCATAATTGCTGTGTCAGTTAATTTTTTAGTAGCAATAAAAAAATTCATTTAAAATTAATAGTTTATTGTAAAGACTTAAAGCGATAAAATTCTATCTCCCAAATTTATTTAGCAATAAAAATAACTTTAAAGTATAAAATTCATTGGTATATTGATAATTTTATTGAAGTAAATAATTTTTTAATTTAATAGAGAATGGTCAACAGTACAACAATTTATAAAAGAACATCCAGATTTTCATCAACACTTCTACGAATGTCCTGAAGACATATCGTGGATCGATTACGACTTTGGTGAAAATAATACCTCTAAAATTCCATATGAAGTTCTTGAGACACCGGAAGCTGAGACAGTCTTTAAAAATCACATCAACGCTCTGCAACAGGAACAAAGACGTTTAGAGTAATTATGCTTTTTTAATTACTAATTATTTCATCAAATGAATAGTTATCCATTTATAATAAATTATAATTATAGTAATTAAAAATGTAATATAATAATGCTTATGCTTTATTTTGGGTGGCGTTTATTTGAGCAGACTTCCAAAGAGGTAATTTGTTAGTTAATTAATTGCTTAAATTTAATTAATCATTTGTCTCACTAATAGCATGCTTAGGAAACTAATTTGATATTATAATTTATTTAAACGAAAATATAAATTGTAAAGCATTGAAGTAAAAAATGATTTGAAAGTTGTAATATCTGGTATTTATGTATATATTTATATTTGTATACATAATATTTTTTTATCAGATGGAAAAAGCAATTTAAACAATTGCTAGAGGAAACTGGGTACGTAACGCCTGGAAAACATTTGTCAGAAGTACGAGTACTATTCATGGGTCGCGAATGTTTTGAAGCACTTTCTCATCATGATTGTCAAGAAATTTACGAGCAACATCAGAAGGAAATAATTGAGAGAGCTAAACATAATTTTCAAGTATAAAAATATTTATATTTATATATTTTTTTTTTATTGTTTATTGTTTGTATTTATCAAATATTTCATATTTACCAGGAACTTTTACTCGAGCACGCGGATTTATTTTATCACTTTAAAAGCATAGCTCCGTCTGGCACTATTACGCAAGATGATATTAAGGAAATAACAGACGCTTTAATAGATGACTTTAGGTAATTCCATAGTATAATTCTAGTTATTTTCTTGATAATTATTTAGTTGTACCTTGTAATATTTAATCATTATTATTTTTTTATCAACTATACTAATTATGTTTTCATTATTATTTCAAAAGGTACAAGACATTGGATAGACTTGATCAGGATAGAAAATTGATGCTTTTCCAACATCTTGGTTTCGTTCATTGTCCAATTAGAGAACATTGTCCGGCATTTCCTAACTGCATGGATGCTCTTATTGAAAGAATACTCGGCACTAAGGCTCACAGGTATATTATTGACACAGACATTATTTTTTTCATTATTATCGAAAAATATTAACTAATTATTTTAAAAATTAATAATACAGTACTATTTAAATCTCGTGTTATATTATTAAGATATCTAATATTAATTATATATTTTTTTCTACGAATCAACTGAAATTTAAATCCGGCAAAATAAAATATTTAAAAGTAATCGATTGAATTATTAAATAGTTGAATTTTTTTTTAGTGAAAGATTATCTAGAGATTAAACTTTATTGAAATTCTATCAAAGACGTATTAAACTTTTAAATCAATTAAATTTTCATTTAAAATAGGATTTAAGTGAAATTAAACTAGTTTATATTAATTGGATGTTTAATAATAATAAATAGTGTCTTAGAGGAAACTATTAGTTATTAATTTAATGAATTATTTATTTATAGACCGTCATCATGGAATCACAGCAGTCAATGGCAACTAACATCCGAAAATAATCAATTAAATTTAGTAATACTAGGTAGCAATGGACTTGGAAGTGAATTCGCTCAGGAAATAAAAATGCAAACAGATGACGATGAAGTGGAAATTGATTGTCAGTTATATACACTCGGTTATCGAGTTATTGACGGTGACGTTGGATTACCGCACAATTCATTTACAACGTCGGATTTTATGCCACATGGTGAGTCATTAATTTATGCTTGTATATTAATTGAAGAGCAATGTCATTATGTAATATTATAGAAACAATAACAATAACATCAACATTACATTAGGGTGTTTTATTTCACTACGATATATTTTTTTTTTTAGGTAGATTTATTTATAAATTTAGTTATTGTAGCCGTTCTCATTTTAGAATTTAAAGGAAATTTCGTTATAATATATTTTATTTTGTCAAGTTATGCCGAAAAATAACATTGATTTAAAAGTTTGTTATATATATGATATAAAGCCCCAAGAAACTTTGAAATTTTGTGGGCTTCTTCCATGAATTAATACCGAGATTAAGTTCGTAAATGAGCAAAATCAGCTAGTTAGTTTCGGAGTTGTGGGTGTTTAAAAATTTTTTTCATTTTCAAAAAATTATTACTTTTCTCAATTGTATTGAAATAATATTTTTACTATTAAATATAGTTCAAATGTATTGATTTTATCTCAAAATTCACTTAATTATCTTTAATTTAATTAAGCTATCATTTGTCCACTTTTAATAATTTTTTCAATTTATTTTGTGACGAAAAATTTTGAAAAATTCATTAATAAACATGTTTTTAGGTTTTATCTTCTTACAATTTTTCAGCCATATGAGATAGTTAAAATCTATTAAATTAATCATCAAATTTATACAATTATCTTTAATTTAAGCTATAATTCGTTGACTTTCGAATTTTTTAAAAATTTATTTAGTGGATTTGAAGACCTTGAAAATTTGAAAAATTTTTAATAAACGTATTTCCATCATCATTATAAATTATTCTATAATCGTTAAATAAATCTACCTATCCATGTTGGGCTTCGCCGAATAGCGCTTTTTTTTTTGTTAGAGTAAGAAAACTGTTTACAGTGAATAGACAAAAAAATTTTGGTATTACAATGACAAACAATTATTCATTGTAGGTTCATTCTGTATCTACGCAAATGAAGACTCATTTGAATACATACGGTTGTCGTTGGAAAAAACATTGCTTTCAAATTTGGAGCAGGAAGATCGATTGCCATTTCAGGGATTACCAATAGTAATAATGTTCGTACCTGACATAACTATTGACGAAATGGAGGCAATGAGACTACGGGAGGAGGGACAAAATTTAGCTGACAGTTTACAGTGTCCGTTCATCGACGTCTGTGTCGAAGATTTGGAGCCAGATAAGCGCTTTCCTCACTCATTAGTCAAAGAGGCCCTTCAGCAGCTCATACAGTCGATTAATCATCGTGCTGGTTTTTTAAATATTTACCAAAGTGTTATTGAATGCCTGGAACCCGATATCAGGTCAATTATCAACTATCATTATCAATGTGGCTAATTAGTAATTAATATTCATACATTAATATATTGACCTTAATGTTTTTGTTTCTCTGTTACACAGAATAATAATGTGTATGTTTTGCGGTGATCCTTACTCAGTGGAAAATGTTCTGGGTCCTCTATTAAGCCATCAGTGTTGTTTTTTAAGCGGTGAAAAGTCAATTGTTCTCGAAACATTTCTCGGCGACTCTAAGCGACGTGTTGAAGTTATTATATCGAGCTTTCACGGTGCTAATGCATTTCGTGATGAATTAGTTCATGGCTTTATTTTAGTTTACTCAACTAAAAGAAAAGCTTCTTTAGCAACTCTCAAGTATATTTTATTTTATTTATTTTTTATTTAATTTTTAGCATCAAAATTAATGACAATGTTTCACCAACTTTTGTCAAGTTTAAAATTGATGATACTAAAAATTAAATTTTATTAATTAATTAGACTAAAAAAAATTAACAATTCTTGTTGTATGTCTATGATAGCGCATTTTCAATGAACATCCCAAATTTACCAATTCAAATAATGGCAGTAACGGACACCGGCGGTGCAAATGCTTTCTTCAGTAATGATCTATCTCACATGCTTATCACTGAAGGAAACGCCACCGCAGACCGACTTCAAGCGCATTTCATGACTTCAGCTTCTAGTTGTCAACAAAAAAGTAATAACTATTATTATATTCTATTGTATCTGTTTTAAAAAATTAAAAAAATTTTTTTTTTTAATTTAAAATATATTAATTATAAACAAATAAATTAATAAATTATTTACAGCGGCATTTTACACGCCATTCTTCAAGGAAGTTTGGGAGAAAAAACCCGAAATCGAGCAAGCGTTTAATATGGAAGAACCCGGTAATTTAAATGACAGTGGTGAAGGTACTTTGGAATACTCGGCATTACATCCGATGCCACCACCAAGGCATGAGAGTTATCATCTTCAGACTCCAGACGATGGGTAAGGCATCTACAAATAATTTTATTTATTTATTGAAGGTAGTTTTAATTAAAGTTTTAATTTATTTAAGTTTGTTGAATTAATTTATTATTGCTTTTTTAACCCTTGAAAGATACACTTTGTTCCAATTTTGAACTTTTGAGGGTTAAATTTATTTAAAAAAAAAAAAAGATAAGCTTAGATTTAGCATTAGTAATTATTAAAAATAACTGATTTATTGTAATCTAAAAATCTAATGAAAAGCAGTATGTCTGTAACTTTCAGAAGTGGATCGGAGTCGTACGAGCAATTGACGCCTGATGGTGAACTCGGTGATACAGTATTGAATGAACAATTTAATGATCATCGGGCCACACCTAGCGATGACAGTGATATTTACAGTCAAGTTGATTTTCATCGGGAAGAAAGAGAACGTGAGTTACTCAAAGGCGGGGACTTTGCTAATAAGTTAACAGGTTTGTTTAATTATTTATCTGTTTAATAATATAAAACGAAATACTTATATTTTATTTAAACTTGAGCTTTTAATTTATTTAAATGATAATTTATTTATTTTTGAATAGGATGGGTGAAAGATACATTCAATATGCATCACGATGGAGTATCAAACACGTACTCGCACCGAGCATTTACTACAGGCCGTAGAAACATCTCGCAGACAAAGTCACGACCGAAAGGCAACAGCCAAACGTTAAAACAACCGGGTAAAATAAATTTAAAAGACTTTTCTAACGTGACGGATGCGATAGCACGTATGAGTGTTGGAGAAAAAATGGAGCATGGTTCGAAAATGATGGGCCATGCGCCGCTAGCTACTCCGGAACTTGTAGATCTTGAGTACGCTCATCCCAAAGACGTTGTGACTAATCTTTATCCGGCTTACGAGGGAGAGTATGCGTACGCTCTTGTGCAGGATTCTATTTCGAATAATAAATCTAAATTACGGCATAGACGTGAAAAAGGTCAACCTTGTAAGTTTCTTTTATTTGAAAAGTTAATCAATAGATAAAATTGTTGATAATTCGTCCATCGATTTTAGTTTTACAGTTACTAAAAAGGCTGTTATCTCATTTTATTTTTGATCGTCATATAAAAATTTTTCAATAATACTTCAGTCTATTTTCCAATCTCACTATTCAATATGCTATATTTTAAAGTTTTTAATTATAGATTTTAAATAATTTAGGCGTTCCACAACCTTTGTATGAATTTTCACAGCTGACATTTTTTTATCCTTTTCCCAATAGATGACGTAAAAAATTGAAACTGAAATAACGAGCTTTAAACATTAAAAAAAAAAAGTTTGGAAAATCTAAAAGTGCACGACTCATAATGCTCATTTAATTATGAAATGTTAAAAAAAAAAAAAAAAAACAAGTCGTTCAAAAATAGTTGCCGAAAAAACAGCTGTACTAGGAAAGTAATGCACAGGTGCCCCTGGTGGAATTAATGTACATACTATATATAGGTATATCACCATCCATGTTAATTTTACATGGAAATATATAGATATACAGTCTTCTGGTTTTTTTATTTTGTTAATTGTACATGAACGACACTGAATTACTTAACTATTCGCATTCGGTGACCTACAATTTTCCTAAAAAATTAAAAAAAAAAAAAAATTTTACTTAATCGATGCATTTTTTCGCAAGTTATAGTGTTTTCAGAGTTTCATACATGACGGACAGGAAAATTTTTTGACCTATTTTGATGTTTTTTTCTGTTTCTAGTGCACTAATTAAACTTTTGAAAAGTGTCAAATTAATCTCCATTAAATTATTTTGACAATAGTATGCAAAATATCTTGATTCCATGAACTAACAAGACTATAATAATGAAAATAGTTGCCGAAATGAGGCGAAAAAAATTTTTCGATCGTAAAGCACTCTTTGATGCTTCGCATCATGAGTCGTGCAAAATGAAAATAAAAATAAACATTTATGTAGTAATTTTATCTGAAAGCTCATTATTTCTGATATTAATTCTTTAAAGATGAATTATCCAGCAATTTTTTATAAATCTAGATGCGATATAATTTTATTATGCAAATATACTAAATATTTATTTGTTTGTCAACAGCATACAGCGATTCTGACTCGGAGTGGAGTTCACTGGAGCGTCAGCGGGCGGACGCTCTCAGCAAGACGAATAAAAAACCCTCGAGTTACAAGCGGACACGTAAGAAACGTACCGCAATACCGGTAGCAACTCCAAAAGTACCTTCTCTAGCTAGTATGGTCAGTGGAGACGGTAGCATTGGTATCAATTTCACCAAGGACGACAAGAATTGGCGTATTGATCCAACTGAACGTGGTAAGATAATTAGCTACCTCTTGTATTATATTAAATAACATTATGCATACATAATATATGATATATAATAATATATGCTATTACTGTGTATATAACAGAGTATAAATGTTATGTATTAATGTAAATACCTATGACTATCTATGTGTTGCTTGAATGACATAAAGTTACCCAAGATAGTATAGTCAATCTATTATTATTATTATATATTCAATAGTATCAAGTGAAACACCAGATAGTTCTGAGTCAAGTGAACCAGAGCACGGTACAAGATCAAGATTAAAACCAAATAAACATGCCGGTGCGGTTAGTGTGAGAAAGAGATTTGGAAATTCAGCGGCTACGCTGCAGCATCCCTTCAACCTAAAACATGTGACTCAGGATATGTTCAGTGTGTCCTGTGAGTCCCAAAATAAAATTAAAATAAAAATTCAATTGAATTGTAATCACTAGTAATCACTAGACAAAAAAATTCAATTTTTATTATTTTAATATTAATACTTTATTGTTATTACTATTAATATTATTATTATTATTATTATTATTTTTGTTCCCTTGTAAATTGCATCTCTGCATGAATTAATTATTTTTAAAAATAATCCTAATAATTATCAATTTTATTGCAGATGATGAATCCAGTCTGGACGTCTCTTCACCTCGGGAAATAAATTCACCTAGTGTAAGTATTTTATTATTTTGGTATCTTTGTAGGATAATTAATGCGTAAAGTTAGAGCGTAAAATGAGAGTGTTAAATGTGATTAAAATTACAGTTTGGAATATTAACGAAGGGTAAGGAGTGTGACAAGCTGACGCGCAAGAAGGACAAGCAAAAGGCTAAAGAGGACGAGAAGTTGGAAAAGCGAAGGCAGAAAGAGGAGAAACTCAAAAAACATGCAGAAAAAGAGCGAGAGCGCGAGAAAAAGAAGCAGGAAAAGATTAAACAAACCAAAGGACCTGGTGGTACTGGAGGCGCAGGTGTCTCTTTAACGGGCCAAAGTCAATTGTCACTCATTGAAGATTTCGCACAGAGTGAAACAAACCGGATACCTTTATTTTTGGAAAAATGCGTACGGTTTATTGAAGAAGAGGGACTGGATTCTGAGGGAATTTACAGGGTTCCTGGAAATCGGGCTCATGTAGAGTTACTTTTCCAGAAATTCGAAGAAGGTAATTTTTTTATTTTTATATTTTTAATGTAAAGAGTTAAATTTTATAATCTACCAAAAGTGCAATTCATATATTTATATATATTATATATATGTACATATGAAAAATATATCAAAATGCATGTGGGTACTCAAATGAAATCTCTTGATGAATGTAACATCGGGATGAGCTTATATCTTTAAAAACATCAACAGTTAAAAAATTACAGTGCGATTGAACAAAAGTCATTATTTAATAAAGCAAAATTTTATTTATAGTTCACAAGTCACGGCAGTCACATAGTATAGGAAATTCTAAAAAAAATGTAAATAAAATTTCAATCGAATAATTCATATCTAAAACTAATGGAAAATTCATTTGATGATATCATAAAAAAGTAGGCCACTGGACAGATAAAAAAGATATTAAAGTTTGTAGGTAGAACCTTGTGGTGTTTTATTAAATTCACTTCCGTATTCTGTTTTGAAATAAAGTTTGGCAACGTTTTACGATTGACTAAATTACAACTGTTTTTGTTTATAGCCGCGAAGTGCAATAATGACAGCAAAAAATCTAAAAATAATACATAGAATAATTTGCAAGATATAACGCTTACTTTCAAGTGATGCATTGTTTTTTAACTGTATAAAAATTTCTCAGTATTGATTTTTACTTATTTTATGGCATAATATATTTAGAATTGTAAATCAAACTAAATTATTATTCGATATAAAAAATTACAAAAGACCTTTCTCTATAATTTACAGTAAAAGTATGTAATTAATAATTATAATTTACTTTTTATTATTAAATGAACTGAGACCTTTGAAGTTTATGCGGCGTTTTACCGAAAGTAGGAATAATTAACCACGACCTTTGCGTATAGTTTTAGTTATTATAACTAAATGTTAAAACCTTTATGCGCTTATACTATTTTTTCCTTATAATTGATTTTCCTTTTGTAAGTTTTACCTGAAACAATAGTTGAATAGAGTGAAAGGGCTTTGGTGAAACAAATTTTAGTATTTTTCGACACAATTAATTCCAAAGATTAAATTTATGAATTGTACAATAGGAAGTCGAATAATAAACCTTTAGATGTTTAGTTTAAAAGTATTTGGTCTAGTAAATTCCTCTATGTCATCAAAGATTATGTATAATCTTGTTACAAAGTTGAAGTTAAACATTGTAAAATAAATAAATTAATTCATGTGATCCTGATTCTATTGTTTCAGATGGTAATGTTGATATACATCTATTAGACATTCCGGTAAACGCAGTTGCAACAGCACTCAAGGACTTCTTTTCAAAGCGATTACCACCACTTATTGACAAGGAACGTATGATTGAATTAGAAAATATTTCTGGTATGTATTATTTTAGTTTCCGTGCAAAAAAAATTCTGATTCAAAATGAATTTAAGATTGAAATTCATATTTTACGGTAGTACTACCGGTTTTACAATTGACGTTCAGAATTTAATGAAATTTGGCATATTGGTACTTTATAATATCATAACTAAACAGTAAAATTTTTGGAAGCCTGACAAATCCTGAAAAAAAGATATTAACATTTACATATTTTTGCTTTTACCATTGATTCTTATGGAGAATCACAGACTTTATTTTATTTCACAAAACTGGACGTTCAGATTCTTATAAAAATTAAGACAACGATAGAAAATAACATCTAGAACATATTTAATAACAATCAGTATGGTTTCCGAGTATATGAGAATATTTATTAATAAAAAACATTCAAAATTTATCTCTGTCTCTCTTTCTCCAACGTAATTTAGTATAGGGAAATCTACTGCGTTAATCAAATAAAGTTAGGTTTTGAGATTTGACTCTTGTGGTAACGGTAGTACTACACGAAAAGAACAAGATGACACTAGATATTATCCCAGATTATACTGAGCGAAAAAAAATTTCAGATAGTAGTTAGCATAATCCAAATTACAATGAGTATAATCTAGATTACAATGAGTATAATCCAGATACCAGTATAATCTAGATTTTGCTAACTACTATCTGAAATTTTTTTTTTCACCACAGATATCACTGAGTACAATCTGTGATTATATCCAGTGACATCTTGTTCTTTCCGTGTACCTTGACACAAATATGAATTAGTTTTGAGATCAATCCAAATTTGAACTTGGTTTGTAGATAGAAATTAGCACATCTGTAAAACTTTCGATCCTACTTCAGAATTTTAATAAAGACTTAAGAATATTTTATATATAAAATTAATCCTAAATATTTTTAAGTCTTTATTAAAATTTTATTAAAATTCTGAAGCAGGATCGAAAGTTCTACAGACGTACTAATTTATATCTACAAATCAATTTCAAATTTGAATTGATTTTAAAACTAATTCATATTTGTGTCAAAATATGAATTTCAATCTTATTTATTTATTTAAATTGATCATGGAGCTTTCGCTCCCTGAATCTTAAATTCATTTTGAACCAGATTTTTTTTTGCACGGGTTATAAAAAAATTTACAAATTTCTAAAGAATCAAATAATAAAAATGGTTTTTTTTTTTTTTTTTTTAATTAGGTGCAAGGGGCACAAGTAAGCCAATGTCTGCAACGGGTATGAATATGGAAGATCCTAGCTGTAGATTACTCGCCTTACGATCAATGCTTAATCAATTAAACCCAGTTAATTTTAATGTTTTGAAATTTATATTTCAACATTTCGTAAAGTAAATATTATTTACTTTTTATTTCTTTATTATTGTTTTTAATTGTTATATTAATTATATTAATTACAAAAATGTTTACAGGGTAGCTGAGAACTGTAAGTTGAATAGCATGGATAGTAAAAATTTGGCAATTTGTTGGTGGCCGACGTTATTGCCAATAGAATTTAACGACTTGGGTAGATTTGAAGCCATGAGACCTTATTTGGAGGACGTTGTTCAAACGATGATCGATCAGTATCCCTTTCTTTTCTGTGACAAAGAAGCTATCGTCATGGTCTAGTAATGGACTATCACTATCAATATACAACAAATTAGGATCTATATTGATGAAAAAAGTACATTTTTAAATCACAGAGGTCTTATTCCTCTTTTAATAATACTAATAATAATCATTAAAATATACAAAGCAAATAAATTTGCACTAGTCCAATTGTACTGGGTTAAAAAATCGGTCATAATTTGAAGCGTCAAAAAATTTTTAAATAAATTATCAACGGTCGAGTTATAACAACGAGTCAATCATGGTGTCATATAAGTATGCATGTATTTTTAAAATATTATATATATATATTGACGGTTTTATTAATTTATTTCAAATACTAATCATTTTTAGGATGTAAGTTGCGAATAATTTTTTAGCGTCTTTCAAATTTTTTTTTCGCAATTTGTTTATATTAAAAAAATTAAAACAAAAAAAAAATGCTTACATCAGCATTAAAATTGATAAGTAATAGAAATAAAAACAAAAGGTAAAATTTGTAAATTAAATCAATAGTAAAGTTATTTCATAAAAATAATAAAAAGACATGTTTTAGGTTGTGCCATGCCAATCGTATCTGATTTTTAATAGAAGTAGATATCGATGCACGGCGGTGATATATAATCTATTTGCTTATACCATTCCGTCTAATTAAGAAAAATGATAATTATAAATGACGATTAAGTAAATAAAACGATTTAAATATTAATGTAAATCGTTTTATAATTTTAATAATGATATTAATAATTATAATTGATAATTAATAATAATTATAATGATTGAGTGATTAAGTAAACCAAACCAAGAGTACTTTTTACTCATAAACCAATTTTATGGACAATCCATAGCAAAAAAAGAAACATGTCAGTGCATTTGAAATTCTTGTAAATAAAGAAAAAAAAAAAAAACAGGCTCAGGCATAGAACGTTTGTCCCGAAATAATAAATTAAAAAATAAAATAGACTAAAGTGATTAGCTGTCGATGGTTTGACATTGAAAGTGGTCAAGGTTATTATTAAACAAAATAATAAATGATAATAATAATAATAATAATAATAATTCGAGTACTTAGTCTGACGAAATGCCTCGGTCAAGCAAATGTGGACAATAGTTGTCACTATATGTGCCATTTATACAAATTGGTATTGTGAAAATGAATAGTCAATTGCCCTTTTTGGTGATTTGATGTCTGACCACATTTGAGATTAAAAAAATTTTTTTATAGTAATGCTGGTCTTTAAATAATGACGCACAATAACTGCCTCCAAGTATCGTAACAATGCAAATGTGTTTAGGCAATTTATTGTCCTTTAAATAAAATAAAGATTAATAATGATGATGATGATGGTGATGATTATTATTATTATTGTTATGAAGACAATGATGAGAATAAAAATATTAAAAAGGATAAAACTCAAGATGAAGAATTTAATGAGTGAAGAAATTTTTTAACGAATTTTGGAGCTAGAGTTAAATTTTTGACTAGAACTTAAAAATATTTTTTGTTTAAGTTTTTGTGGGAATATTTATCGCGTGATGCTCGAGAAATTTTTTTTGTTGCTTTGAAGACGGATGTTTAATATTATGTCATGCTTTTTGTGTAAGATTATTTTTTTTTTAATCTAATTTTTTTTGTTTCAATTATCAGATGTTAAACATATGTATATTTTTTTGTAGAAACAAAATTTGTTGCAAATTTTAATTGTAATTAATATTTATTTTTTTATATTTTTTTCTATGAATCTGTAAATATATTTAGTTGATTTTTTTTTTAATCATGATCTTAGTGATTAATATTGATATTAAATTTTTGGTTGAAAAAATTTTATTTTTATGTTAACGAATTACAAAAAATTAACATCTGATAGTTATATGAATAATCAAATGCAAAAGTTAAATATTACGTCTTCGAGGATTTGCATAGACGCTTGGAAGCTTGATCAGTGTTAAATTCATACTAAAATACAAAAAAAAAAAAAGTAAAAAAATTGTAATATTTCTAAGAATACCATTGAGTACTTGGTGAATACTCAGTGATTTGTAATTGTTCCAATTTAGTAGTATCGAGGTTTTATACATTCGTACATACATAATATAACATGTAACAGTGTAATAGAAAAAAATTTGAAAAAATGAAAAAAAATATTAAGTGATAAATGTGTGTCGCGTTTGAAGTTTTATAATTAAACAAATCCGATGCAAATGAAAAAATGATGAGCGATCGTTGACTTATTTTTTCCTCACTGTGTACTTGAAGCATCTATTGTCTAAGTTTATTGACTATTGTCTCGTTGTAATTCTCATGAATCTTATAAAGAAAAAAAAAACAAATTTCTATCTTCGTTATTAATTCCCGAGCAAAAAAATTTCTTTCGTTATAAATTTGAAGTTGAATTTTATCCGGAAATTCTCCTTTTGACTCCGATTAAAATTTCATCGTAAATTGGTCTTGAAGGTTGAGTCTTGTAAGTGATGAATTTTTTGGATCTTTACAAAAAAAAAATGACAAAGTTGAAGTTGAAATAAAAATAAAAATAAACTCATATCTTATTAATTAAATTTAAAAATTCAAATCTAGTTTGTGTAAAAAAACATAAAATTTTGCTAATTAATATTATGAAAATAATATCTTCTAAGACAAATTTGTGATAAATATATTCGCATCGAAGATGAAATTTCACAATAAAATTAAAGTTTAAATTAATGATGAAAGGAATTTATTTTTTTGCGCAAGTGGATTTTTTATAATTATAATAACTAAATATCAATGCCTAACAATGTTCTGGCAGTTTTATCACATCATTGGCCTCTTCTTTTTACATATAACCCCAATAAATTATTAATTACCAGGGACCTACAGTAAATAATAAATAATTACCACAATAACTATAATTATTAATTGAATCATTACTTAATAATACTAAAATAATAATAAAACAAAATGAACCGGTTTTTTTTACCATGAATTCATTCAAGTGATCGATAATGAGCCTACTCGATAAATGAAAAAAATAAAAAAAAAAAGCAAAACAAATTATCCTGATTAACTGATTAATTATTAACAAAATAAATGACTAATTATAAATAGAATTAATTGAAAATTGGATGGAATGTTGATGAAAGATTAATTATTGATTGATATTTATTAACAGAAGATATTTAATTGTATTTGATATGTGAATGATTATTATTAAATACTGCACGAATGAAAGTTTTTTAATAATTTAAGTTAAAAATAAATACAGTATTTACTTGAATATATACATAATTTATTTAATAATAAATTTAATTAGTTTATTAATAAATTATTTATATTTATATAAATCAGCAATTTATTTGATTGCTTAACTCAACGTTTACTGACGCTTGATCTCAGATTTTAACAAATATATTTTTTTCAATTGTACAAATAATTATGCTACAGTAAATAATAATTATTGTACAAAGTATTAATGGCTTTTTATAATTTTATATTTATTATTTAGCGTTATATGAATTTTAATTATAATTATTATTTGTCAATTCAAATGCACAAAATTTATTGTCAATTTATAAAAAAAAAAAAAATTCAGCCATTTTTATTTATTAATTAATACTTTATAAAAATGTATATACTGTAGCTAAAGCCAATATTTTATTGTCATGATTGATATTATTATATAATTATAATTACATATAAGTTTGTATTTAAATTTAAGGGTATAATACAGGCAAGTAATTAAAGATGAAAGTATTTGGAGTGAAGAAAAGGTAAATACTTTAAACTCCATCGTTAATTTTATTTAAAAATTTCGTGTATTTTCAAATCATTCATCTGCATACAAACAGAGTACGAGTAAATCAATAGCGCAATTAATTAACGTCTTCTAATAAAGATAAAGTTGAGTCTTGTCAGAAGTTTATAATAAAATATTTAGTGAGTTTTTAAATTTTAAATTTGAATCCTTTTTATTATTCCTATTATTATTAGTAAAAAATAACAAAGGAATTTAATGAGAGATCTTTATAAATAAATATGAGTATAAGTATATTTATTATAAATAGTAATGCAATTTATTTATTATTATTGATGATGGAGTGCTGAGTAAAGTCTATTTCCGTGGCATTTCTTTAATCGCAATCCAACTAAATTACACTTTAGTTATTTTCCATCGGAATGATATTTTACATTTAATATTAAAGTTTAATAAAAACAGAGTAATTTTTTTTTATTTATATTTGGTAAATCAATAAACGTTTAACAATAAAATATCAATCGATCAAACGTCATAAACGTTATTTTCGTCGTTAAAGTGTCCACTGGATAAGCCAAGTTTTAATAACAATAATAAATTTAATAAAATGTATGAGAGGAAATTAATTTTTATAAATATAATTAATAATCTATAATTATAATTATTTCGTGATTACAATTACTATTGAATTAAATAATTTATTATCGCTTGGGGTATGTGTTTTATTAATCAAATTATTAATAGTCGAGCAAGGCTATTTGAGCTCTTAAGTTAAGAGTTTATTAATACATTTTAATCAACTCTCTTAAGTAATTTAAATCAAAGTGAAAATAATAATTATAATATTAGTATTAATTATTAATATTAATAATAAATATGATGATGATGATGATAATGAAAAGAAATATAGGGCCTATTGTGTGCATTTATTGAATTTTATTGATTTATAATAAATGCTTACAATCGAGAGTAAAGTTTAATAATAAATAAGTTGATAAATAAACTGATATGAATGATGGATTTTAATTATGTATAATTTAAATTAATACTTTAATACAAAACAAGTAACTAAAAACACACTAAAGTATCGATGTCCAAGAAGTATTTAAAAGAAAAGTAAATAAAAATCGTCTTTATGTACAATTTCAAATTTATTCGAGTACTTATTTATTTATTTATCTTATTAATTATCTATATAATTAAGAGAGTAAGAATAATTATGTCTCTGATGTATTTATATGATAAAATGAGTTTTATCAATTAAATTTAAGGTAAAAGACCTCATTA